ATATAATTTTTTCCTCGGCCAGAAATTTAGAGAATTTTTAAGAGGATGGAGTAGCTTCTAAGTTCAATTTTGTCTTCGATATATAAAGCTGTATGGAACAAAACTCGAAACTCTGTCATGTAGGTTCGATGACTAGAGGAGGCGTGCCTTACGAAACTGACCAGAGCACATGCTTCATGAGTTTTATTAAATATAAACATTGTTTTCCTTTCATCCATTTTTTTTTCATTTCCCATGGAGATCTGTTTTGGAGAGCGAGCTAATTGAAATAGAACAGTGCTTCTCAAGAGCCGAATACCAGAATGACTTTACAGCAGCTTTATTCGTGTTCGTTATACCCACAGTTTTGAGAGAAGACTTACGACGGTGCTCAAGATCACCAGGAATGTTCCTAACGCGTTTGTCACGTACAAAATGACTTATTTACTAAACATACACAGAAAGTCGAGTGTTGTAACATATAACTATGATAAATATACGAATATATCAAATCGCTTATTTCGTCTTGCATCTCAGAAGAAAAAAAAAGACATGAAACATAGCCTTTAAAGATATGACTAACAGTTTTACCAATAAGGGCATCTCCAATAGATATTGAGCACCATGAAATATAGCCTCTTGTTATTTATTGGGCAAGTTATTACTGGTAAAACTACTAGTCATATCTTTAACACCATGAAATATAGCCTCTTGTTATTTATTGGGCAAGTCATTACTGGTAAAACTACTAGTCATATCTTTAACACCATGAAATATAGCCTCTTGTTATTTATTGGGCAAGTCATTACTGGTAAAACTACTAGTCATATCTTTAACACTATACATTGAAATATTATTCATATTTGTAACACGAAATATTCTTTTAATGTGTACTAATATATTGTTCTTGAAATAAACACTAGTCACATTTCTGATATGATATAAAACCACCAGTTCCTTCGCTAACACAATATCTTTGAATTCCTTTAATGTTTGTTGGCGTACGTTTACTGATAGTCGCATTATAATAGCATCTCCTACAAGATATAATTTCTTAATATCTAATGACAGGCGTTTATTGATAAACACATATAGTCACATCTCCTACACAATAGGTTTTCTTAATGTCTAATGTTACAGGCGTATATTAATACACGATAGTTTCTAAATGTTTGATGATAAAGAGGTTTATTGATACAAATATAAGCACATATACTACACGATATAGTTTCTTAAAGTTTGGTTATATAGACATTTTTTGATACACGCATGCAGTCAAATCTCTTACACGATATAGATTCTTAATGTCTGGTGATAGAAGCGTTTATTGATAAACGCATATAGTCACATCTCCTACAAGATACATTTTAAAAAGTCTGATGCTATCAGCGTTTATTGATACACGCATATATTTAAATATACTACACGATGCAGTTTCTAAATATATATTTATATATATGTGTTTATTGATAGACTGAATGATCACATTCTTTTCAAATTATTTTTCACTTTCTTCCTAGGCAATATTCAAGACGCATGCGCGCTTACTACACACTGGTATCACAACTTTTCCACATAATTCTCCCTGATTAAACACCACTTCAGCTTGTAATCTGGTTACAACTTTAGAACATACGTCAGAGTAAGCTACTACAAAAAAGTATCTTCAAAGAAGATCATTGTAACTTGATGGTAGACAATAAAACGTTGCATCTTTATTTAGATACTTATATTTATTTAACGAGCCGTCGAACATAATAAATAAGATAGCTATCGTCTTATAAAAGAACACAGAGCGACTGACCAAAATATATTATAATAATTCACATAACTAAATAGCGTGGTTCGCATGCGGGTGCAGACTCTGTGACAGAAAACGAACACAATATTCTCTGGCCTTTCCAAGTTTTGAAAGAATTTTTTGATTTGCTTAGCCAATCAGCACACGTTTAATGATACACGAATAATAGTCATAACATTAAACCTATAGTTTTTTCTTTATAGACGCATTCATTATTGTTTTAAATAGTAGTCATATTTTACTAATACGTTTTACTTTCTTAATCACTGCCAAAAATGCGTTTATCGACAAATATACTACCAACAACTCTAATATGATATATAGTTTCTTAACATGTTAGCTGACTTTTAATTATGGACCGCGTGACACACCGGTGGGCCACAGACAATTCTGTTTCAAAGCCAAATTTCTCTTGTAAAATATGAGTTTGGGACACCGTGACTGTTCTTCGGTATTTTTACAATGTTTACTTTTATTTATCATCAATTTATTATGTGGTAGCCAACGTGATAATGGCTATCGGTACGAACAGAAAAACTTTCATGCTTGACTATTTCCAAAATACACCAGCTGTACCCAGACGACGGCTTCTAATGACTTGATTGTACAAACTGAAAGCAAAGAAATCAACGGGAGATTTCTAAAAATAATTTCGTACAGGATGGTACCATGTCCTTGCTACTCCTAAGTTGATATGTCAATTTCCCCAAATTTTTGTTTTTCTTGAAGTTAAGTTTCAGTACAGAAGTTTTATAGTTAGGATGGAGTAAGTTCATTCAGAATTTTACAGTTATGATTGAGAGTGTTTATCCAGAAGGTTTACATTTAGAAATATTTATCCAGGTTTACAGATCGGAATAAGTGAGTTCATTCAGAAAATCTACAATTAGGAGTGGGTGAATTCACTCAGAAGTTTACTGTTAGGATTGAGTGAGGTCATTCAGAAGTTTACAGTTACAAATAAGAGTATTTATCCAGAAGTTTTACAGTCAGGACTAACAGTGTTTATCCAGAAGTTTTACGGTTACTATTAAGAATATTTATCCAGAAGGTTTAAAGTTAGAAGTGAGAGTGTTTATCCAAAAGGTTGACAGCCAGGACTAACAGTGTTTATCCAAAAGTTTTACGGTTACTATTAAGAATGTTTATCCAGAAGTTTTACAATTATGAATTTTTATCCAGAAAGTTTATAGTATAAACTGTTTAAACGAAAGTTATAAGAGCTATCAAGAGTGTGAGAAACTCTCTTCTGTTATACATATATATATATACATATATATGTGTGTGTGTGTGTCGAGTTTAAAGCTAAAATGTTCATAAACAATCCTGTGCTTCAATCACATTCAAGTGGGAACTATACAAACCAAATAACTCATAACTTTTTAACATTATGGGACGGCTGAGAAAGCAGTGTTTAAATTATACTAAACCTTACTTCTGAGGTTTTTTTGTATAATTAAAACATAATTCAAGCAGTACTCACACAACCGTCCTATATAATGGTAAAATGTGAGAAGTAATTTTGAGTGGTATAATTCAAATATAGATCACACTATCGCGTCCTAATAGTCAACCTTACTTCTCACATTTTACCATTATATAGGAGAGTTGAGTGAGTAATGTTTTAATTATACTAACAACCTTACTTCTCACATTTTACCATTATATAGGACAGTTGAGTGAGTAATGTTTTAATTATACTAACAACCTTACTTCTCACATTTTACAGTATACAGAACGTTTGTGTGAATAGTGTTTCAACAATATCAATGATCTAGCTTCTTAAATTTTACCAAAAATAAGGTTTTGTGCGCAATGTTTGAATTGTATCAGTTGCATTACTTCTTAGATTCTTCACACTTTTATAAAACATTGGTAACGACAATCTCTGTGAAAGTTGTTTCTCTATATCTATAATTTAGTTACAAAAGTAAGCATGTCTATCAATAGATTTTAACCAAGATATTAACTTTATTTTTATTATTCGTTGTGTTTTCAACATTTGGATCATAAATTATATTTTAAGTCTCAAGGTTTTAGCTCGAATTCATTATAACAATAATAAAATAAAACAAAGAAAACGACATTCGCCACCAGAAACAACTGATCTCCAAACATTACAGAGATGTTCTGTAGATCAACAAGGCTGACTGGACACACACACAAAGAAACGATATGTGACGGATCATTCTGGGTGGGTCCTGGCTGTCATATTCGAAACAAAGTTAGATCTCATTAATCACTTGTCTTCTTCAGCCACGTCATTTTCAATATATGTCACCTCATGGAATTGAACTCCACATGTTTTCTTTTGTCGTTGATATCGGTTGCTTAGCAACAGGATATATTTTATTATGTTCCACACTTGTTTCAATTACTCTTCTGATTCCTCCACGTGTAGAACGATTGGCTTTACCTAGAATTACGTGTACATACAGCTACTGAATGTGTGGGTAAGATGTGACATCACGATGACTGCGATTGTTTTCTATCATCCTATCACATAGTCAAAGAACTCCCTAACCTAAGCCGTTAGTTTCGACTATACCATACAAACACAACAATGTGGGATTAAAGCCGTCAGCTACTCAAACTTTAAACATCTATAAAGTAAGTATGTTAAAGAAAAACATTTTTTTTCTTTTTAAAGATATATATATATATGAAACTTGATAGCAAAATTCGAACTAAAATGTAGGTAGAATTTAATATAAAATGCATAATGTATTCTTACATGAAATCTAAAGTTCTAGGTAGATTTTTATATAAAATCTAAAGTTCTAGCTGTTATTCTTTATTTGATATCAGTATTCTTAATTATTGAATCCATCAGCAAATTTATTGAGAGTCTGATTAGTTGTTTCTTCTTCAGTTCAAGACTACAAGGTTATACTTGTCACATTAACACGAAAACTTGATGTACCCTATAATTAAGTGACTGTGACTTTAAACGTGAACTGTCAAACCTCCAAATGGTTCAACAAACACTAATTACCAATAGTTAATGACTAGCCAAATAATGATTACAGAATAAAAAGGGTAAAGATCAAGCTGACAAGCATGGTCGAATGCCATCCATTTCAATATTATATAGCAATACAGCTGTTGCTTTTATTTTGTACTTCATACTTCAACTGTTTTAATATCGAATAACAAGTTGACGTTCTCGTAATTATGTTAACACGAATATTTCTATTTATAAATAATTTATTGAACATACGATGTATTAGTATTCTCAGATATTTGTGAAACACAGTTCTTCTGTCAGTCTATACACCCGGAGACTTGAAACTTTCACTGGCTAATGTCAAGTGACACTCGAACTGTTGTTTCAGCTCTGTGAACAGTTCGCACATTCTAGCAATGCTATATAGCAGTCATGCGAGTGGTCTTCCCAAGGAATTATACTACATTCCGGTCGCATACAAAAACGTCTTTGTGAATTTATTCAAGATCCAAAACGTTCTGTAATATCGAAGAAACAATAATAAAATATCGATGGTCTAAAAATTATACACAGGGCATATTATAAAAAAAAGAAAAGTATATCCTCAATACGTTTATTGGTTGGATGGGGTTGCTATGGCCCATGCTTTATATACAAGTTTATTGCAAACTAACACTTTGATCATATCTATTCATACTAGTTATCAACAGGTTATTGAAATAAAAACTGAGTTGTTTTCAATAAAGCTTAGCATACTAGTTATTAATATATTCTTGAGGTAATAATTGAGTTGTTTTTGATACAGCCGAGAGAAATATTAGCGTACTAGTTATAAATAGCTTTTGAGGCAATAACTGATACAGCTGACAGAAACTTAGCACAGTGGTTATTAATATATTGTCAGGGTAATAATTGAGTTGCTTTGAATATAGCTGAAAGCAATGAGACTGAGTAGAGCAAGAAGCGAACAAAAAACCTGCATTTCAAAGACACGTTGTAATCCATTTATTATATAATTCTTTTGTCTAGGAGTTATTAGTATAATGGGAATTCACACTAAAATTCACTATACATGTTTGTGTTAAATAAATATAGTTGTTCCAGGGTTTCTTACCTAGGGTATAGAATTGATTCCCCAGTGTAATTTACCTATCACATCTTTTTAAACTCTTATGCGATTTTGTTATTTATTATGTAATGATAATGTAACTGGTAACACTGACGAGCATCATTAGAAGTGGATTACATTGTATCTGTGAAATGAATATATTATCATTAGAAGTGAATTACATTGTATCTGTGAAATGAATATATTATCATTAGAAGTGGATTACACTGTATCTGTGAAATTAATATATTATCATTAGAAGTGGATTACAATGTATTTGTGAAATGAATATATCATCATTAGAAGTGGATTACATTGTATCTGTGAAATGAATATATTATCATTAGAAGTGGATTACATTGTATCTGTGAAATTAATATATTATCATTAGAAGTGGATTACATTGTATCTGTGAAATTAATATATTTACATATTCGTTCCAGCGTTCCAGACTTTGCCCACTCCCGAAAAAACAAAAAAGGTTTAGCATGCTAGTTATTAATAGACTATTGAGGTAATAATTGTTGTTTTCATTATAAGTGAAAGAAGGCTTAGCATACTCATCATTAATAGATTGTTGAAGTGATAAAAGAATTGTGCGTCAGCTTGAATTTGAAACTGAGTAACGTTACTCTTGTGAATGATAAATGAACAAACAGATGAAAACAAGTAATTTACTCAGTTCAGCAGTCATTAAACAAATAACAAATTATATATGGAATATGCACACTGTATATAGCATGTATCAATTTTAAACTCATTAGGATAACTTGTAACATAGCACATGCTGGTTTTACCTCTATATAATAATTGGTTTAAGATGTAACATATCGGGTTCATTTTCTTCATAATAATTGGTTTAGTATGCCACATTTCGGTTTCATATTCACCATAATAATTGGTTTAGTATGCCACATTTCGGTTTCATATTCACCATAATAATTGGTTTAAGGTGCCACATCAGAATAACTGATTTAAAACTCTTTGTGTCGATTTTGCCTTTTCAGTTTAATTTGTTTAACGTTTTTGATATTTTCAAAATGACTGGAACTTTAAACTAAATGGTCAGGTTAAACACCATTAGGGTTCAAATATAGCTGTCTTTAACCTAGAATTACTGACTAGAAGGAGAGAAGCCATTCAACAGCCCCGCCGCTACAAGGGCTTTGCCTGGCTTTAAATCTAATAACGAGTACGGCTGTAACTCTTGTAACGCACCCAAAGCTAAAATTGCGGAGTGTGTTTGGCAGCACTGAAGCACGAACCTTGGACCTTCTGATACGAAATCTGGCGTGATAACCATAAGCCAAAGCCTTACCTTAATTTGTTTTGTCATTTATATGTTTCGGTTGCACTATGTATGTGATGCCACATATTGATTTGAAAGTTTAAACAACTTCATGTGAAGTAAAGTTACAATGATATTTCAACTTAGAGCTTAGTTTAAACGCTATACTAAATTTTTCAACATTTGATAGCATATAATTTGTACACAAAATAAAAATAATTTATTAGTTTCTAGCTCCTCTTTCAAATCCATGATCATATTTTTTTAAATACCAAGTACGGGATAGGGGAAGAGTGGGAGGCAAAATATTAGGTGACATAGAAACTAAAGTTCAAGGGATATAAAACAACAGTAAGATTTTAAAAAGTTAGGTTTAACTCTATTTAGTTTGGCAACATTCCCAGGTGTTGTGAAATATGTGATGACAGACTAGATCAGAACGGTGAAAGATAAATGATGCTTATTGGAGTATTGATAGGCTAGAAGAAAACGACGTTAGATAAGGGATGCTTATTGGAGTATTGATAAGCTAGAAGAAAACGACGTTAGATAAGGGGTGCTTATTGGAGTATTGATAAGCTAGAAGAAAACGACGTTAGATAAGGGGTGCTTATTGGAGTATTGATAAGCTAGAAGAAAACGACGTTAGATAAGGGGTGCTTATTGGAGTATTGATAGGCTAGAAGAAAACGACGTTAGATAAGGGATGCTTATTGGAGTATTGATAGGCTAGAAGAAAACGACGTTAGATAAGGGATTCTTATTGGAGTATTGATAGGCTAGAAGAAAACGACGTTAGATAAGGGATGCTTATTGGAGTATTGATAGGCTAGAAGAAAACGACGTTAGATAAGGGATTCTTATTGGAGTATTGATAGGCTAGAAGAAAACGACGTTAGATAAGGGATGCTTATTGGAGTATTGATAGGCTAGAAGAAAACGACGATAGATAAGGGATAATCATGATACTAGAGGACAACGATGGTAGATAAAGATGACGATAATTGGAGTGCTGATAGACTAAAATAGAAAGATGATAAATAAGGAATGATCATTAGAGTGGTGATATACTAGAAACGAACAACCATAGATAATTGGAGTGATGACTAGAATAGAACGATAATAATCAAAAATTACTGTTACACGAGTGTCACTTCCATCGTATAATTTACTTCGATTACACGTATATCAATGAGTCGAACAAAATCCACATGTTTTTTTATATTATTATGTGAAGGGCGATTGTTTAGATTACAATAAAGCTAGTGAACACACAGGATTTTATCCTTTATCATTTAGACAAATGGTTGTATGCCACATAATCCAGGTCAGACCTTTGAGCTACCAGTGTACCCTTGAGACATATAATTTGTTTAAAAAATAACTTAAGAGTGGGGTATGTTAATAAAAAGAAATTAAACAGAAAAATAATTCAAAGGGGAATGAACAATACACAAATGTTGAGTCCTGGTTAGTTGAATTCCCCAGAGACTTCCTTCCAATTTTGAGGAGTGAGGTATGTTTTATTTTTAGTTTTTCAAAGGCTCTCCCGTATGCCCAGAGGGGACATGTTCTATGAGTTGAGAACCATTGACCTAGGCTACGCTTTGAGCGGCAGGTACACGCAAAAGTATCCAGTAAAAGATTGTTCTCATTCTCTCAGCTATAATACAAGTTAAGTTCTGTTTAAATAGTTTAATAACTCATTCAAAACAGAGGTGTGATAGTACTAATATCTTTGATGATTTAATGCGTGCTTACTGCACATATTAAGTCATCAAGTTTTAAACAATGCCTCTCATGTGCTACACATGACGTCACTATTTCAACAATGACGTCATATCTCTTGTTACAGCTAGATTTTAGCATCAGGTGGTTCATGGCAGAAACTCCCATACCAATAAATCACAAAGAGTATTTTTTTCATTGTCATTCCCTTTTAAACACAGTTTAATTAAGCACGCATAAGAACAGGTAGCTAGTGAGTCATACAAGGTCCACTGATGCAGGCTAGTAACGATAACTCCACCCACATGAAGAGGTGGAAAACCACGTTCACACAATTTTGTACAGAGCTCTCAAGGACAGAAGTTTCCATGCATTCGTAATCGATGTTTAGATAGCATAAAACAATATTCTAAAAAGTAGCGCTTATAAGTTCAATGTAATGTTAACACCAGAAATTACTAGTTTGTTAACGCTTTCATTAAATGATCGCCCTTTTCGATAACATAACTCTCTCTCTAGCGATTATCATTAAAGAAAAAACAAAAACCAATAAGCACGTGCTGAGTATCGTATCGTACAGTGATGATGGAAAACAACGTTGTAAATACTTTCATATATCTTTATTTATAGTGTTTTATGAAGAGTCCCACAGTTCTGCTTTTATAAATTCTAAAAACTCATACCATTAACATCTGCAGTTGTCAAAAGGCTTTGGTGAAGTTGTTAACTGCTTCAGTATGGTTTTCTAAAAGCTCCATGCTTGTAAGTTATGTCGTTAAATATACAACATGTAATAGTAAAATTATATTCAGATATCTTGACATTTCTTGACCTTATTTGTATTTTATTTTTTAGAGTTTAAGTCATGTTAAGTTTGTTTTCAGGTTCTGAATACTGAAGCTGCATTTTGCATAAAACCCGAAACGTAGCCTGAAACACAGACGTTTGGTATGGTTTAGTTTGGGTGTTGTTTAGCACAAAGCAACACACTGGTATCAAAATCAAATTTTTAGCATATTAAGTCTGCAGACTTACCGCTGAGCCTCTGGGGGGATGGGACACACACAGACAAAATAAACAAAGAAATAATACTAAACCGAATATGATGTCTCAACCCACCTAAAAATTAAGATAGTTGTAATACAATGTTGTAGAATATGTTTTATTTATTTGTTTCTTATTAAGGTGTTTATATTGTTGTTTTACCAGATGGTAGTTTGACGACGTGTTATGTTCGTAGCGTGATATCAAGAACCTTTTAATAGTTTAGAAAGTGATTCGATTACATAATTAAATAGTTTTAATAAAATGTTGTAGAATATGTTTTATTTGTTTGTTTTTTATTTAGATGTTTATATTGTTGTTTTACCAGAGGGTAGTTTAACGACGTGTTATGTTCGTAGCGTGATATCAAGAACCCTTTAATAGTTTAGGAAGTGATTCG